CGCTAAATTAAACGTTTTAGGTAGGAATTTCTATTTAAAAAATGAATTTTAGAACACTGCCTTCAATTTTACATACATTATAATTTTTTTTCGACTAATCGATTACAGATTTTCTAACCGATTGCCATCGTTCCGACCGAGTAATCGGTTAACCGGTTAGAAATTGCCATCCCTAATATATATATAATTAATCCGAAGCGGATTATAAAACAGCGTAAACTGACCCAAACCAGGTTATACTCGAATAATTTGGCCAAGAATTAGAGTCATTCCTTATAATTTAATTTTAAAATCATTAAATAACTATGGGTGTAAAATTTCGTTGCTTTTTATTAGTTCAAATTTGCCGCTCAATAATACAACCGTAATAACGGAAGTAAGGGAAGTGATGGGAAGCAAGGGGGGGGGGGGGTAAAAACTGATACATAGGCCTAGCAGCCTTGTTGTTTGTTTACATGTGGTAAGATCGAATCATTGTTTGAAGTAAAAGGTACATTTATTAAATCTGGAATTTTCCATGAATTCCGAGGACTGGAAATGAGAGGATTGTATGGATACAGATGATTCAGCTGGTTGTCAGGGGGGGTGTGTCCCCATACCAAACCAGGTTATACAGAAATAATTTGTGTTCCTTTTTGGATATTAACCAATCAGAGGCTAGAGTACAAACAAAATTAAATTATATAAAGTTATAACTGTAAACTCCAGATTCGACGTCTGTTCGATATAATTAAAATTCACTCCATAATTTTACATTTATTATTTTCTAGAGGATAAGGTGGGAAATTATCTAGTATTTTCTAGCAGATTGATAAATGTAGCATCTTCCAGTGTTCTATACTAATCCGTCTAGAAAATCCAGAATCTGAAAGATGAAAAGGAAAAAAATTCTTTATAACCTTAACAATCAAATTAAGGATTTCGCGAGTACGATGGATAAACCCGGGTGTTTCCCTCCATTGAAACCATCGATTAACAGGAATTTCTATGATTCTGTTGCTAAGTTGTGGTCATATCCAAAGACTGTTTATTAAGGACATTAATTACAAAACTATCGGTAGTCATTGGAAAAAAAAAAGATAATTAGAGGCTGATTAGATGCCTTTACCCAGGAACTGTATTGACAATGTGACAACCAAGAAAGGTGGTCTTGACAGAAATATTGATTAATTAGGAGTATATGAACAAATCTCCAAATGAGTAATGGGAGGGGGGGGGGGCAATGTTATAGTAGTGTAAGACAAGTCACTTAATTCGTTTTCAGGTGAAATGGTAGTTACATTGTATTTTACTCTTTAAAATGTGGTGTAAGTTAAAATTAGTTTATCAAAAATTACTTTATCAATAATTTTTTACGAACTTTGACACGTACATGCATGTATGTTGAGAAAAATGCATCATCACACGAACATTTTACGAATGCTATACCTAAAGAACTCGAAGATCCTCCTACGGCACCGTTTCGAAAAGGAAGTGAAACAAGGTGAAAGAGCACTCTTATGTTTCGCATGAAACCTGTCTTTAATCCTTTCATATCTAGGAGTATTTCTGCTTTCTTTATTTAGCTAATGCATTTTTTATCGCACATATGGCTAAAAGGACAACGGGGAAAACTAATGTTATGTTTAATTAAAAACCTTATTTCCCTTTTTTCTCACGTACTTGGTCTGGGGTTTTTAATTTAGGAATTTTCACTTTCAGCATATAAAATTTTGACACTGAGAAGAAAAATACATTTGTATTCCAAGTATTTGATAGACGCAAAGTTACGGATCATTTCATTTTAATATTTCACTTCATCAAATTAAGACTGTCATAGTACAAAACAGAGATTTTAAAGACAAAAAAAAAAAAAAAAAAATACAAAACAAAACAAAACCAAAAACCAAAAAAAAAAAAAAAAAAACAAAACTAAAAAAAAAAAAACCCACAAACAAACAAACAAACAAAAAAAAAAAAAAAAGAAAAAAAAAGCATAGAAGTTGTTTATGATATGTTACATGTACATCAATATTAATTTCATTAAAGTTTTCTTTTTTTTAAAAGGTTTGTTTTAATATGAAAGTGGAATCTGTTAAGTTAGGAAACGTCCAACAATTTAAACGTTTGAAAATATAACTATTATAATATAATAAAGTAATCAAAAATTTTAATCAACCTCCCAAATTGCCTGATGTGTTAATTGGGATTTCGAGTCTCAGATACATGTAGATTCGAGGCTACCTAAATAGCATACAAGATAAAGCTTCGTAGCCTTGATCGATATCAATAATATTCTTCCCATTTTTTTTCCACTTAACAATTTTGTTTCTTTTTTTCCCCCTGAAAATAGTGTTCAACGTATACACCCTCTTTTCAAAATTCTTGGAGAAGCGTTACGAATGTCTTTCTGTCATTCTGTCGCTGTGGAATACAAGAGTTGTACACTCATTGTGAATGTTGCTGCTGAGCTGAATTTGGTCAATTGTGAGGATGTGTGTAGATGAGTTACATGTTGAGTTTACGATTATGATTATAATTAAATGTGAGTCTTAGTTTATAAAGTTATGCAGTTTAATATATACGTATATGTATATGCGTGTACATCATTTGTTTTTAAGGTTTTACCGTCTTCGTCTAGAACATGTACAAAAAGCAAACCCATCTGAGAGAACTGCTGTAATCATTAGCTTATAATTAACAGCGCACATTTTTCAATGAATTCACTTATGTTAATTCGACTTTTTAAAATTTGTACAAATTTCAAAAATATGAAATGTGAAGATAAAAAAAAAAGGCAATGATCTTTTAAACAATGCAAATTTTGAGCAGTGGCAACATAGACCTCTGAAACAGAGGTCGGATCAGAGGTCATGGAGGAGTAAAAATCCTCTGTCGTCCAGTTACACCCGTCGTGATCGGGCAAACAGAAAAAAATCTTTGGACAATTCATCCTGTGAAAATAATGGCCTAGCAATTTGTACGAAAGATGTCAGTCAAAGTTCGACTTGGAGACAAATTGTATTTGGAAACAAGGTCACTGTATCGACCATAGAGTTTATGAAATGTTGACTTTAAACGAAATTGTAGATACCCTTGTATCATCAGCTTGATTGTCTGTAGCCTGCCTCGTTTTAGAAATTGTTCGTACATGTACATAGAACATGCGAATCGAATCAACTGGGAAACATAACATCCATATGGTGGTGATAAGGGTACAGTATATTGCTTATTTATAAATAAGGGAAGTTGACGATAGAAAAGTTGAAGATATCATAAAGTTACATGATTGTAGACAGGTTTTTTTTCTAATAAGACATCCAAATATGAAACAAATATATCAGACTCTATGATGGTGTCTTTCATTTCTAGTTCAATAGGATATATTGAATTAAGAATCCCCAGATTTTAATTTTAATTTTAATAATTGACTTTCAATATTTCATACGATGTGTATGAAGCAGTTGCTGATTGTTTTGTTTTTGTTGTTTTTGCATTGCATGCCATAAGCATCTTTAATTTGTCTGGTTTCTTTTTCTTTCGTTTATTTTTTACAAAATATTACCAGAAGGCATGTTTATTTGACAGCAAAATTTGTTATTTCACGATGGAGCCCATCAACTTGAAAATACAGCTCTTTGAGTGGTGCAAAAAGCATAGTGAAGGGTCAATTGACTTCATTGTTCCAACCTTGTATTCGTTTTTTGACCAAGAGACAGCCAATTATCAGACCCCGAAGTGAGCAATCACAACATGCTCGGTCTTCCTCATTCTTGATAATGATGGATAAGGCTTCTTATCATGCCCAATTAACTGGGTAATGAAAACCTTAGCAAAATCTGTGGTTGTCTTGACTATAGCAGCGTAATCGATAAATTTTGTAATTCCATGGTAAAGAAAATGTTCATATCTCATCAAATTTACCATTATCTGAGTTATTACCGTTACAAGATTACTTAGGAAGCCATACATTTGAGTTAAAAGTCGGTATAATGCATGTCAAATTGATGTGTTTATCGTCATCAATTCCGTGATTTCGTCACGCCCTTCTTGAAAAGGGGAAATCTGTGGACAATTTTTTATGCAAATCGTTGATATGATAACAGTCCGGCCAAATGAAATGAAATTCCAGATTACAAAGTAATGCACGCTTTGTCCCGGATCCGAAACTCTTCATAGATCGTTATATTTTGAACTTTGTATTTTGAAGTTTAGTGTAAATATATATGCATTTCAACCCCAACACGTTAGTTATAATAACTTTTGATTGCAATGAATGAAACAGACCTTTAGTACTTTAGATTGTTATATCAGCAATTATGATTATTAATACATTTCAATCCTTTCATTAAGTAAATGTTGCTTGGTTTAACTGGTATAAATTTTTTGAATAATTTAAAATAGAATTTATATAAATAGTAAATTTTTATAAAAAGAGCCGTAAGTATTTTTTGGTGTTCAAATATGCTACTTTGTACCATTTCTGTATAAATTTATACAATTTTTTGGACACATTTTTACATTCTTATTATTCAAGTTATCTATATGAACACTTATTGCTGATTTCTGAAGAAAAAAAGTTTGTGTTATTTTTCTTTTAACTTTTGATGAATCACAATGAACGAAACATTTTGCGATTAAGTTAATAATACTGAGGAATGCTCTCCAGCCTGTGGAGATACAAAAGTGAATATCACGTAATTGCGTAAAAACAGGTAAAAAAAATGTAAAATATTATTCTGATTTTTTGATATAATATTAAATTGTTACTTATTGAAACTTTGGATTAACACGATTTTATCAAGGAGTGTAAGGAACTGAGTGACAAGTTTTGTTTACATTAAAACTTCAAATGTTTCTCGAGAAATGCTGTGTACACAATATCATCGATATGATTCGTTCGAAATTCCTCGATAATCGTACAAATCTTTAACTTCCCTGTCCGTCGCAAAGAAATAAAAATAAACACATTGTTTATTTCTAGAAAAAAACCTTCAATGTGATTTTTTTTGTTTCAGATATAAATTGTCAAAATGGTTGTGAGAACATACAATGACGAGCTGAAGTATTTGGAGAAAATTGGAACTTGTTGTTGGAGAATAAAGAAAGGCTTTGTGGAGAACATGAATGTAAGAAAAAGAGAAAGATTTTTTTACAGACTTCAGTATACAAGTTCATGCACATAGTTATAACAAATAATAAACCACTTTTTTGGCCACATTAGTGGACTGGAAATGACAATTATCAATCATTTTTCAATATAATGTACGTGTTTTTATTATTTTTGTAAATATGACTTGTTTTCATCATATTACCATTCCCAGGTTAATTCTTCCAACCCATTTACTACAGCAATAAGATATACATGTAGTACACTTTCCTGCTATGGACCCATGTGTAGAAAAACATCTTGACAAACAATTGAAACCAAAATAAAGTAGTGCGCCCCATAAAACTAACGAGATAATTAAGTGCGCCCAAACCTACCAAAAAATGATGGAATACAGCCATATTTATTTTCAGAAGTAACTCTATATTAATAAAATAAATTCCAAATAGTTATGACTGTTTTTCATCATTATTCTAAAAAATGATGAATTTTAGTCATTATTAAAAATCAATTTTATGACTAGAAATCATCATTTTTAAAAGTCCAAAAGGGAGTTCAAAATGCAATGTATTGAACATGTTAAACATATTTTGTTAGCTCATCATGAATCTGATCAATTTACTATATCTCTTTTATAATTTTGTAGGTAGAGGGCATTTTTTATACAAATGAAACTTTGGAAAAATTGATGTTTGATGAACTTAAACAGTCATGTCGAACGCAGGGATATGGTGGATTTCTGCCCGGAATGAAACAGATTGGAAATGTGGCATCCCTTCCTGGAATTGTTGGGGTAAGTTACCATGGTTACTCTAAATATTACCAATGATATATATTTCAAATTATTATTTGAACCCCTCAATTTTAATCTCTACAATAAAAATATAACTGCCAAATAAAGATTGAGGGCATTGATATTAGGATGCAAAATATTGATGTCCCCTCAATGAGTACTTCTAGAAGGGAGCTGAAGGTCAAGAAATTGGGAATGTGAAAGTAAGTTTAGCATAATATTTTTTAATTAGCATGTTAAGACTTAATTAACAGCAAAGTATATATGAACCCTTAAGAATATGTCCCTCAGCCCCCCCCCCCCCCCCAAAAAAAAAAAACATTACCTGAAGAAGGGAAAGGTGCAAGATGCATGTATTGTTGCTATGAAGTATTGAATTCCATGAAATGCAGTGTTTGCAAGTGTATAAAAGAATCAGGATATGGTTTTATGCTTTTTTGAAGGCCCTATAGATTAGAGTGTGTTTATATATGTTTTAAATTAATTAGGTTGAATGAATTAATAAAATTTAAAGGAGTTCATTATTGAAAGGATAAAGTAATGAGATACGCCTATGTATCAAAAGGTCACAACAAAGGAAAAGTTGCCAAAAAGTGCCCTTCGATCTCCTGCACCCCTCCATTTTCAGATCCTAGCTGGAACACTGAAGGTGGTTTCAAGATATTTTTTGTTTTTATAAATATTGGACTACTTCAAACTTTGATAACTAAGGAAATGGTGATTTAAGTTATTTCACAGCCATGTTACTTTGACCCCTCCCCTCTCTCTCTGGAAAGTAATAAACATCATGGAGAAGCAAGTTTCAAGCATTTTGTAGCTAAAATACAATAACAATTGAATTTTACATATCTAATGATATATACTTGTAAAACATACTGGTCAAAGATGTATACCATTTACATACAATTTAAGTATTTAATAGTCAGTACTAAAGAGAAATGATCTGGTAGGGACGATTTTGATAGGTCTGTCGGTGTACATCAGACGAATCATTTTTTGATTAACCCTAGAGAAACATTTTGTCATTTAATATAAATTTCTCTTAATATCTTCATTATACTTTTCTATCAAAAGAAGCTGGCAGGTCTGTAGGGACGTGGTTCAATACTTTGCAGCCACAGTACCTTGAATTTGAGCATCCCTGCCCCTGCTGTGGGTTGAGGGAGTTTAGGATTCTGCAGCAAAAATGAAACCCAGGATTAATAAGTAATAGACAAAATATGAACCCAGGATCCAATAGTTTAAAAGGGAGGGGGCCTCAGAGAGGAAGGGCTGTCAGGATTTTGCAGTGAAAAAAATTGAACACAGGTTAATAATATGATGACATATAAAATAAGGGTCCAATTTTTGATGGTATCAAAATACATATTTCACATTGTTTGGTTAAGGTGCTGTCAGTGATGAACTTTAAACATTTATTTGAGATTACTGTACCAAAAAAATTCCTGAGGCCAACAGATTTTTTTTTACAAGATTATTAAATTGCTGTCTGAATGGATGTTAAATCTTTATTACATTTTTTCTTTTTTTTGTTTTACAGAAGTCTATTGGTCTTCCTGATGTTCATTCTGGTTATGGATTTGCAATAGGTAAGGTAGAATTACTGGCAGTTTAAAGGTGAATTATAGATTTTTGGCAAAGTGACCTTTTGAAGGCAGTACACACAAAGTCTATGCTCAAATTTTACACTGAACCAGAAGTTTCACATTTTTAGATCACCTGAGTCACTCAGGTGACCTATTCCTATCTGTTTTCGTCCGTCGGCGTGCAGGTGTGCGTCGTGCGTAAACTTTTCACATTTTCGACTTCTTCTTAAGAACCACTGGGCCAATTTCCACCAAACTTGCCACAAACTATACTTGGATAAAGATGATTCAAGTTTGTTCAAATGAAGGGCCATGTCTTCTTCCAAGGGGAGATAATTAAGAATTAGTGAAAAATTAATGTATCTTTAAAAATCTTCTTCTCAAGAACCACTGGACCAGGTAAGATGAAATTTATATGGAAACTTCCTCAGGTAGTGTAGACTCATGTTTGTTCAAATCATAACTCCCAGGGGTAGGGTGGGGCCACAATGGAGGATCAAAGTTTTACATAGAAATATATAGGAAAAATTTTTAAAAATCTTCTTCTCAAGAACAGCTTAGCCCTGACTGCTCATATTTATATTGAAGCATCTTCAGGTAGTGTAGATACAAGTTTGTTCAAATCATAACCCCTGGGGATAGGGTGGGGCCACAATGGAGGATCAAAGTTTTACATAGAAATATATAGGAAAAATTTTTAAAAATCTTCTTCTCAGGAAGAGCAAAGCCATGATGAGTCATATTTCTATGGAAGCATTCTCAGGTAGTGTAGATTCAAGTTTGTTCTAATCATGACCCCCTGGTGTAGGGCAGGGTCACAATGGATGATCAAAGTTTACATAAAACTAGAAATATGTCCATAGGACATGAATGCCCCACCAAGGGTATATTAGTTATGCAACATTTTAACACAAATTGAGAAAAGTGAGGTCAAGGTCAAAGGAAAGGTCAAGGTGAAAAAATATTGATGCAGTTGAATAGCTCTCATCAGTATGTATCAGCATATGAAGTTTGACACTAATTTAAGAAAAGTGAGGTCAAGGTCAAAGGAAAGGTCAAGGTCAAAAAATGTTGATGCAGTTGAGTAGCTCTCATCAGTATGTATCAGCATATGAAGTTTGATAACACTATCTTGAATGGTATCTTAAAAACTGAGCTAAAAACTTATTTAAGAAAAGTGAGGTCAAGGTCAAAGGAAAGGTCAAGGTCAAAAAATATTGATGCAGTTAAATAGCTCTCATCAGTATGTATCAGCATATGAAGTTTGACACTAATTTATGAAAAGTGAGGTCAAGGTCAAAGGAAAGGTCAAGGTCAAAAAATGTTGATGCAGTTGAATAGCTCTCATCAGTATGTATCAACATATGAAGTTCGATAACACTATCTTGAATGGTATCTTTAAAACTGAGCTAAAAAATTTTTTTAAGAAAAGTGAGGTCAAGGTCAAAGGAAAGGTCAAGGTAAAAAAAGTTGATGCAGTTGAATAGCTCTCATCAGTATGTATCAGCATATGAAGTTTGTTAGAAATATCTTGAATGGTTTCATTAAAACTGAGCTAAACACTAATTCAAGAAAAGTGAGGTCAAGGTCAAAGGAAAGATCAAGGTCAAAAAATGTTGATGCAGTTGAATAGCTCTCATCAGTTTGTATCAACATATGAAGTTTGATTACACTATCTTGAATGGTATCTTTAAAAACTTAGCTAAACACTAATTTAAGAAAAGTGAGGTCAAGGTCAAAGGAAAGGTCAAGGTAAAAAATGTTGATACAGTTGCAAAGCTCTCATCAATATCTATCAGCATATGAAGTTTGATAAAAATATCTTGGATAGTTTCTTTGAAACTGAGCTTTGAAGAGAGCTAAATGCAAAGTGTGACGGAAAACAGACGGAAGGACGGAAGACGGACATGACAAACACTATATGCCCCGGCCATATTCATGGCAGGGCATAAATATATATGAAAAATCTTTAAAAATTAGGGATGTCAACGAATATTCGAACATTCGAATATTCATTCGATGAGTTGATATTCGAATATAAATTTAAGATTCGAATATTCGGTTTTATACACATTTTCATTAAAAGAAGTACTGTGATTAATAAATACTGATTAAATATAAACTTTCTTGGAATGTCTAAAAGACGTGAAGAGTATACTTATCAAAATAAATTTACTTGATCATTGAATGAGTGTCTGATAGAATTCGTCTGTAATTAATACTGTAAAGGGCTCAATTTCAGAATAAATGTGTAAATAACTTGATTATCTCGGGTTGTAAATAATCCTGAATTTTATATTCATTATCGGGAATTTAGTTAATTACCTAGGAAAATTGTCTATTGAAATATTTGTTTACACTGTATCACAGATAATAATCATATCTCTTATCAGACAGATAATTGTAATTTATTACACGTATTGAAATCTGAACAGTATACCGTTACGACTATCTTGCCTTTTGTCAGACGACTGGTTCCTCAGTTGGAGCTACTATAAATACATGTTTCATTTGTTAAAATTATACTTTTCTACATTTAAATCATTATTTATTTCAAACATTGACAAATATCAAATGGAATTTCTTATTTTAAACCTACAAAAGTCTTCATACAATTTTACTTCCAATATAAGTATATCTACGCTAAACCTTTCATGAGAGTAGGATGATGCATATTTAAAATAAAACAGATTTTATTTATTTCATCGAATATTCAAATATATTAGAATACTTTCATTGAATATTCGAATATGAATTATTGACAAAATTGACATCCCTATTAAAAATCTTCTTCTCTAGAACAGCAAAGCTGGGATGAGTCATATTTATATGGAAGCATCCTCAGGTAGTGTAGATTCAAGTTTGTTCAAATCATGACACCCGAGGGCTAAGGGCAGGGCCACAATGGATGATCAAAGTTTTACATAGATATATATAGGAAAAATCTTTTTCTCACTAACAGCAAAGCCATGATTGGTCAGTATATGGAAGCATCCTCAGGTAGTGTAGATTTAAGTTTGTTCAAATCCTGACCCCCCGGGGTAGGGTGGGGCCACAATGGGGAATCAAAGTCTTACATAGGAATATATAGGAAAATTTATCCTTCTCAAGAACTGCAAAGCCATGGCTCTGCTGTTCATGATTTGATTTGATCAAAGTTTCATCGAAATATATAGAAATAATATTTAAAAATTTTCTTCTCCAGAACTAAGAAAGGTAAAACTTATCTGGAAACATCCTCAGGTAGTGTAGATTCAAGTTTTTAGCTCACCTGAGCCGAAGGCTCAAGTGAGCTATTCTGATCACATTTTGTCCGGTGTCCGCCTGTCTGTCCGTCTGTCTGTCTGTCCGTCTGTCTGTCTGTCTGTAAACTTTTCACATTTTTGACTTCTTCTCAAGAACCACTGGGCCAAATTCAACCAAACTTGCCACAAAGTATCCTTAGGTGAAGGGGATTCAAGTTTGTTCAAATGAAGGGCCACGCCCTATTTCAAGGGGAGATAATTAGGAATAAGTGAAAAAATAATTGCATCATTTAAAAATCTTCTTCTCAAGAACCACTGGGCCAGGAAAGATGAAACTTATGTGGAAACATCCTCAGGTAGTGTACATTCAAGTTTGTTCAAATCATGACCCCCGGGGTAGGTTGGGGCCACAATGGGGGATCAAAGTTTTGCATAGAAATATATAGGAAACTATCTTTAAAAATCTTCTTCTTAAGAACAGCAAAGCCATGATTGGTCATATTTATATGGAAGCATCCTCAGGTAGTGTAGATTCAAGTTTGTTCAACTCATGACCCCCGGGGGTAGGGTGGGGCCACAATGGGGGATCAAAGTTTTGCATAGAAATATATAGGAAAATATCTTTAAAAATCTTCTTCTTAAGAACAGCAAAGCCATGATTGGTCATATTTATATGGAAGCATCCTTAGGTAGTGAAGATTCAAGTTTGTTCAAATCATGACCTCGGGGGTAGGGTGGGGTCACAATGGGGGATCAAACTTTTACACAGAAATATATAGGAAAATATCTTTAAAAACCTTCTTCTCAAGATCAGTGGAGCCATGATTGGTCATATTTATATGGAAGCATCCGGAGGTAGTGTTGATTCAAGTTTGTTCAAATCATGAGCCCCGGAGGTAGGGTGGGGCCACAATGGGTGATCAAAGTTTACAGAGGAATATATAGGAAAAAATCTTCTTTTCAAGAACAGAAAAGCCATGATTAGTAAAATTGATATGGAGGGTAATGTAGAATGAAATTTGTTCAAATGAGGGCCCCCGGGGATAGGGTGGGGCCACAATGGGGGATAAAATTTTTACAAATGAAAATAGGGGGAAAAATCTTCTGCTCAAGAACAGCAAAGCCATTTGTTATATTGATGTAAAAGCATCATCAGGTAGTTTAAAATTCAACCCCCCCCCCCTAAACTTTTCAATACTGAACTGATTTTTGCTTTTTTTTCCCTAGCCAATATGCTCAGGTGAGCGATGTGGTCCATGGGCCTCTTGTTTCAAATCATGACCCCCTGGGGTAGGGCGGGGCCACAATGGATGATCAAAGTTTTACATGGGAATACATTGGAAAAATCTTCTTCTCCAGAACCACTGGGGCAAGAAACATGAAATGTGGAAACATCTTCAGGTAGTGTAGATTCAAGTTTGTTAAAACCATGATCCCCAGGGGTAGGGTGGGCCACAATGGACAATGAAAGTTTTACATTGGAATATGTAGGAAAAATCTTGAATAAATTCTTTTCTCAAGAACAGCAAAGCCATGATTGGTTATATTTACATGGAAACATCCTCAGCTAGTATAGATTCAAGTTTGTTCAAATCATGACTCTGGACTCTGGGGATAGGGTGGGGCCACAACGGACAATCAAAGTTTTACAAAAGCTTCTTCTATCAGTTTATTTTATACTCTATGGATCTTCTATGGATTGTTGTTTTGTACTCAGGTGACAGTTAAGGCCCTTGGGCCTCTTGTTTTTTTTTTGTT